GGAATAATACTAATAATGCTCTAGGTCCCTGCAGAGCCCACTAGACCGCAGCTGCTGCAATGCCTGTTCCATGCACAGGAGGGCATTTCACACCCACATCAGGAGCAGGGACCATAAACTTTGGCCACCAGAGCCTTGATAAACCACAGCCAAGTTTTACTTCAGCAAATGCTAACAAAAATGGATAACGAAGAGCTTTTACAATTTATTTTCAAAATTGTATATATTAATTTTAAAATGTTATGCTAGATACCATCTCTGCCTGCAGGAGAGTGGAATAGACTGTTCTCAGCTTATGTTATCCTCTGGACTGTGTCTCTAATTGACAGAGTGCAGAGCTGAGCAATAGAACTTGGTTTGGGTAAGTTGTGGGAAAACCCAGTAGAGCTATTTAAAAATTAGACCTTCATGCTTATGTGTAAAGAAAAAGAGGGAGGTTGTACAGATAACTGTTAAATATCAGCTGAAGCATGTACAAAGACATGTGTCTAGATACTGAAGTGATAGGGAGGAAAAATCCTCTGTCAGCAGCATCAAATCTGGTGGAAAAACCACAACACAAAGCAAAGACAACAGTGCTGAGGTTCAGATTTGCACCAGCACGTGGCTTTGGTCTGCTCAGCACAGCCAGACTTTTGCTACTGAAAATGATGAGTCTTGTTTTCAGGAGCAGTCTAGGCATTTAAGCACCTATATTCAGAGTTGTTCAATGAGCTCTATCCTCCTGAGCACCCAAGGATTGAGCTCTTGAGAAAAATCTGTGTGTGAAGTGAGGTGGCATTGGAACTCTTTGTTCAGCGACCCATGGAGAAAGCCTTATCTTTGGCCTAAAGACACCTCAGATAGTTTCAGGCCCTATACAGTTAGATGCTATACACACTGCAGACAGGTCTCCCTCACCCCCAGCCTGAACCTGGTGGTCCAGCCCACGTGACAGCACGAGACCAACACAAATTTTCTGTACCATCTCCTCTGGAGGAAGAAATTCCAGAGTTACACAATCTCGTTACAGGACTAATTTCTGCTCTGTAGCCATTGGATTGTCTTCGGCTTACCTTGAATCTTGCCATCATTCTCATCCTGCAGTATTGTAATGGCAACTAAGTGGTTATTTTCCAACTGTACCATTGCAGTTTCATGTGCAGCTGTGATATCTTCCACCTGGTCCAATGACAATGAATGGAGACATGGACACATGATTAGACATGCTGTGGCACACAGACAAACCACTGCTATAGAGCTCCAGTGAGCTGGAAACAGTAAAGGGATCTACTGAGTGTGACAATTCCAGCACCTGAGCCAGTTTTATTCATTATGAAACAGGTATGTTGACTCCTTGACTGGTAGCGTGTTCTCACTGCTGATAGTATTTTTGTTCTTTTACCTTAATGGTGATAAAAGAGGTACTTAAGAAATCAAAAGGCCAAAAAGCCCTTAAGCAAAGAAGCCATTTATGAAACATTCAGAAATCTCAGCTTTCCATTAATCTAACTCATATTAATGACCCGACTCCCTCTGATGGTGAGATAAACAGGCACAGTTCTGAGCCATCCTGGTTTTTGTCTTCATGGCACTTTGCTGCAGTATTTTTTATTGTAAGGTCTTGAATTAACTTCCATGGAAAGTGCCTATGAATTATCCATAGTTGTAAAATATTTATTTCTAGAGAAACATTGATGTTGTTATCAGTAGGAATGTAAAATTAATTGCATCCTGTCACAGTTTTACTTGATAAAGAGTATCCTAGAAAGTCATCAGTACTTGAACTGTGTATTTTGAGTCCACAACCAATAAACTGATGAAAGATATGACAGCAGCATTTTCAGTGCAGACACCAGAGTTTTCAGACTGGTGTAGAAGTAAGCCAGATGACAGTAAAGACACAACCTTTTCTCCATTCCATAGTGAGGCCAGAAAAAGGTCCTGCTGCTGCAAACTGCCCAACAAACCCCACCACACACCATGCTGCACGTAGCCCCCATGGGAACAGGGGATGGAGCTGGAAGAGGGCTATGGGTAGCCTGTGATCCTGTCTGCTCAAGGGGTTTGGGACCCCTCCAGCACATGATTTGTTACTAGACTTGGCTAAAGGCAAAGCGAGACCCCTAACGATGGTGTTTTGATACACATCATTAAAGAGAACACAGTGAGAAATGGTGATCAAGGTTAAGGCAGAGATCCTGAGCAGCTTCTGGATGCAATGCATCAATTTGTTTTTCTGGGTTTTGTAATCACAGTGATCTTATTCCTTACATTTAACACATTGTGATATCTGGCAATGCAGAGGACTGAACTATTTTATTTTCACAATGAAACAGCTGTTCATTGCAAAATGACTTTAAACAGCTTGTCTGCTCACTGTTACGTTAAATAATGGTAAAAAGTTACTGCAGCTGAGCAGTCCTGACTGGAATAAATGCTATTTCACTGCACTTAACTGCCAAACGTATGTGTTAGATTACCCAACAGAAGCAAAATTTCCAACTGCATTGGAGAAAGCAACCCTTAGAGTGAAAGACAGGCATTTAACATAGGGTTTTAAATTATGCAAACTCATTTTCATAATAATGTGGGAGACAAGTCAGTGGTGATGAGCTGTTCACAAAACACTGGAGACTCAACATGCTGATACATTATATGAAAGAGTAGGGAAAGGGGGGCTGGATGACTCAAGGGACTGTTAATGGAATAGGAACTATCACTTGACTTTTCCCAGAGCACGATGTCCTTGTAGATGATGTCTGTGGACTGAAACCTCACCAACATTGCCACGTTCTCTACCTTGCCCTTGCTTAAGTCTTTATTCATCTTCTAACTGCTTCTCAGCTGACAGCACCCCATAGGAATGATTATGCTCAACTCTAACTTAACTTGATCAACTCACTTAACCCCTGTCACAGTTAATTCTGGCTATAAAAAGAAGCACAGGTAGGATTTTTAGGGCTTAATAAAGTAAAATCAAGAGAAGACTCTAGTGGGAGAAGTTCAATAAGTTGCTGGGCAAAAGCTGGAGCTGAGCATCTCAAAGGAAGAACCCTGACAAGCCGGAATCTCAGCCTTTACTTTGCAATTTTGCCCTCAGCTGCAAAGAGTTATGAGAAATATTGGGATGCAGTGGCACAAATAGCTGATTTGTGAGGAGCTGGGCTCTCCTGTGCTGCAAGAGCTGTCTCACCTCCTCAGAGACAGCTGAGCCTCCAAAACCTGACAAGCATGTATCCAAAGAAACAGCAGCTACCCGACACTGAACGGTGACTGCAGCAATACAGCGTGGGTGACTAAGCTGTGACTGGAAACTGTGAAAGGGGGATGACTAACTTCCAAATTAGATGTGTGGATACAGAAATACATGCAGATCCATGGTTAGAAGGATTTTGCTGTTCTTATTGCCTTCAGGAATACAGCTCAAATTCCCCCACGCAAATGAAGAGCTCAAGGACAAGGCTTTTCCCATGTTCAGTGTAAGAGCTCTTTAGCTCATGGGTGAGGTGCCTCTGCACTAACTCTGGCTGGGACCAGCACCAGATCAGCAGTATCAGAGCTGAACGACTCCAGTCCCTCAAGCAGGCTTACTTGTTTTGGTGTGCTCTGAACTGGGCACTTCTCCCCTTCCTCCAAGCTGGGAAAATAAGAACCAAGGGATTATAAAACCTACAGTTCAACAGCTGTTAGGGATCCACATTCTAACAAAGTTCTTTTCCTTGGTCAAAAAACATTGCTGGTGAGCAGCTTTCCAACCTGGCCTGTCAGCCCCCTCTGATCCAATAGCACTCCACACAGGGTGGGTGTGCAGGGGAGCAGGAATTCAAAGTGAAAAACCTGATAAAACTCATTGTAAGATGTTCATGGAACCACAGATTGAAAAGATAGGATCAAAGTTTGCAATTCCAGGGTCACAGAAGCACTTTCAAAGTAGTGGAAAGAAATGTTTGTGTTATCTTCAGTAGTTCAGGGAATAAAGCAAACCGAAGAGCTGGAGGAGAGAGAACTATATGCTCCACAGAGGGAAATGTGTTTCCATTGCTTCTGTGTGGTGACAAATAAAATCACAATAGATGAGAGCATGAGAAAAATAAGTATACTTCCAGTCAAGTCCTGTGATGGCCTCTATCATCCTTTCTTGCACTGACCAAGTTGAGGGGAAAAAAAACGTGGGAGCTTGCAGAAACACTTCAAATTGTAGCAGAGATAAGCCATAAATTATCTCACAAAAAAATTAACCCATGGAACAAATTTATTCACAAATGCTAATGCCTGGTGATCTGGGAGAGGCGAGGTCTGCAGCTAGAGCTAAGATCTTCTACTAGGCAAACTGACATACAGACACCATGAAAGGAAAAAAAGAGACCAAGGCTTTTGTGAACAACACCCCTCCTTCATCTCAGAAAACAAAGCAGAAAATTTGAGGGGTATTGCAAGAAAACCACCCAGCATAAACTGAAATGAGAACCAAAAGACATGGCTCAATGTAGCCTCTGAGGATTTACAGAGAAAGATTTTGAGAAATCAGTCACCATCTGGGTTTGTGTTTGCACTCCCATCCCAGGAGTGGTTTATGCTCCATTAAGTACAGGCAGTAAATGGCATAATTTCCCTTTTTACAAATAGTTGACCTTAAAGACAGTGGTCTCTGCTGTGCTGGTGTTCTCCTCTTCCCTGAGCTCAATGCAGTCTAGCCACCTTCTTTGGCTCCTGGAGGTGCCTCAGCTATGTCTGCACAGCGCTGCACCAGCCTTTACCTTTGAAGTAGTCTGAATTAGCTTGGGCACAGGCTGATGGGGCTGGTTTGCTTCTGGGCCCACAGCTAGTGCTGTCATCAGCCTTGGGAACCACATGGGGCACTTCTCCACTTTGCACCCCACTCCCCAGCACAAGCAGCAGGGAGCAGCAGCTCCACAGCCTCAGCCACAGGCTTCTGCTTTCAAAATACACACCAGAGATACCCTGAGATACAGAGCATGCAGACACAAAACCTTCTTTCTTCTCAACTCGGTCACATTCATCCATCTCACAGACCACATCCGCACTGCACTGTTGCTGCTGATTTACATTGCCTCAGAGAAAGAAAAATTCACCCTCCTCCACTTCCAGCTGCCCCGGGCATTGGCAAAATATCCATGTTGGAGGGAATGACCCTGGCAAACAGGAGGTCTGTTGGCTGGGCTCACACTTTGCAGATGACTGGCCCTTGCACTCCATCAGATGCCTGGGTGGCATACCCGTGGCAGTGGGGGCTGCAGCATGTTAAAGCCCAATGGCACAGACTGCAGAGCACACCTGACTGCAGCAGATACTTGTGTGAGAAAAGCCCTCATGGACTGTGGTACTGGGCAATGGGCAAGAGCTGCAGCTGGAAAAATCAGAACTGTATCTGCTGCTCACTGAACACAGAATGAGAAAAGGTCAGGTAAAGGTATTATTGTTATAATCCAGAACAGGTTGTTCTGCAACTATGTGAGAGTTGCCCATAGGTGAGTTACAGTGTTTGTTCTCTTTAGCTGTTAAAAATAAGATTAAAGTAGCTGCATGTGAGGGTATTCCAACCTACATACAGAAAGCAAAGCAAGGAAAAACACTTGAGATGTACAATCTAATAGATTAGACTGAGTAGTGGAGCAGAAATCAGGGAACCTGGAGTCTATCCCCTGCTTGATGTTTATGCTGTGTTGCATGGGCCCTATCACTTCACTGCACAACCCTTTAACCAGCATTGCAAATAATGATGGTCAGAGCTCTGCTGGCCTTACCTGTCTTGAGCAGACTCGTGTTCAACCCTTGGTTTCATATAGACTGACTACAATAGGTGGGTTGAGGAGCAAGTATGCATGGTGAGTAGAGCCTGTCTTAGCATTTATGTTGTAAAACATCTGGAAGCATGTGGAGACAAGACATGGCAATGTAATGCAGTACTATGTAGAAATATTAATAGGAATAATAAGGAGGAAAAGCAGTGGAGATAAGGAGTTATATATTTTTCCAGTCATCAGTTCATTACCAGTGTCTCCATGTTGGAGTGTTCAATACATTTCATTCCCTGAGCCCAGTCAGTACTGGTGTGGTGTGCTCTCCAAAGGCAGCTGCTGGGGACTGACCTGATCCTGATGCTGCAGTCTGACCTGCTCCAGCTGCAGCCTGTGCTGCTCCTGCAGGCTCTGCCTCCTGGCGCTGTACTCCTCCTGCAGCTGCTGCTCCAGCGCCTGCCGCTCCTCCTGCTGCCGCCTGCGGAGCTGCTTCGCCTCCTCCTCAAAGTGCCGCTCCAGCTCCTCCTTCTCGCTCTGCAGCTTCTTCCACCTCGCTGTGCTGAGGGCTGGGGGGGCAAGACCACGCAGTCAGACTCTGGACTCCTCGGGAGCAACCAGTGGCGTCGGATCTGTCTGTACAGCATTGAGCACGGTGGTTCCCACCGGCACTGGGGCTCTCCTCAATCTCAGCAGTCAACAAGCTCTCGCTGTCGCTTCTGTCTGTGTCCTGCTCTCTCACACCCATCCCCACACCTGCATCTGCCTAGAGGCACTGCCAGAGTATGCAGGAGTTCACACAAAACTGGGATCTCCACGGACCTGCAGGGTGACAGGATGTCCCCTCCTGGTCAGCACAGTCTTAGATCCACAAATTGAGGCTTTGGGGCTTTTACTTTGCCTTGGATATAAGAAACAGCATATGAAACAATCACTTGACACAAAGCCTTTCAACTGGGATACAAGACTTCTCTTACCCCCTTCTCTCAAGCCACGTTCATGGCTAAGTCCCCACTTCCAGTGATGTGCCAGGAAGGCAGAAGCTGCCTGGGCTTTTGAGGCCCACCCTGTGCACATTATGCAGGGGTTGTTATTGACCACTTGACCAGGAGAAAGAGATGCATCTCATACATCACATTTTCCAGCTGTTAGAAGCTGCTCACCCTAAAAATATCTTTTGCACCAGCTCCATCAAGGACCTCTTGAACCTATCCATGAACATTTGCTTTAAATATTTTTATATTCAAACCACTATCTTGCCTGCTTCCTGGAATCAGAAAGTGCAAATGAAAGGCTAGTACTGAAGGCAATCAGAAAATGTGGAATTTTTACCCTTGTGAACTGTCCTAGTAACCATGTCTCCAAATTCACAACTGTGTCTATGACTAATTTCAGAAGGTACAAATCCAATAGTTTCATCAAGTCAAGGATATTCAGTCTATTTCCCCATTTGGTTTCTCACCTACATTGTTCCACAGGTCCCAGGACCAGCAGTGTCATGACCACTGTGTCCTTAACCTTCCACTTTGCTAAAGAATGGTTGAAGTCAATCCAGATGCTGAAGATCCGAAGTAAGCTGGACAAGGTCAGCCAGACTACACTGTTTGCTCACTTGCAGAGATGTTACAGATAAGAAATCATTAAAATCATCATGGCACTAACATTCAGAACAACACTAGAGAAGAGGAGCTGTGTTTTTAATGGCACTGCTAGACCTCCTTTCTGATTTAGATCCATAGCTGGTTTAGAAAAGCCGTCACCTTTTGAATATACCAACTTAGCCACTCAGCCTTCCTTTGCCTTTCCAAATGCATGTGCCATGCACAGACCTGCATAGTGTTAAATCAACACAGCTGGAACTGGAACTGGGAGCAGCTGTCTCCCTGGGTAGACAACTTCTGAATGCTTCAAAAACATTTGTCCTGTGATCGTATATTTGCTCTATATCTGACAAAATCTCCTGCGTTTTCCTGTCTCTTTCTACTTTGGTATCAAACTGTGTTCAGTTCTTTTCAGGCTAGCAATAATTTGTCAAAGTGACGTCCCTCTGTGACCGGTACATGTTCGGTACACCCACGCAGGGTGCTTTGGACACCCAAGCTTACTGTCCCCAGCCCCACAGAGCTATCCTCCATCCCGTTCAGAGCTCTGCTTCCACGCTTATGGACACCAATATCCAGACTTGTATGTCCAGACAGATGTCACTGCTGGGGTCCTGTTCTGATTGTGATGTTTTCTGGAGTGCTAAGAGGGACTTTTGTGTCCCTTTCAAGCTCTTTTCTCCTTTTAGAAAGAGAGAAAATGAGTCTGGACCAGTGGGCTTAGCACCACAGCAGTGGCACATAGAAAGCTTTCCCACCTGCCTTGTATCCAAAATGGAACATTGTAATTTATATGGTCATTAACTGACCAAGTCTTGTCTCTTGGCAGTTCAGATTATAGCTCTAAACCTCATCTCTTGCATTTTTTATTTTCTTCAGCACGCAAAGTGATCCCAGAGCTGGAGGAGAGGGAGTAATGCTTGCAGTTCAGTAGAATTCAAACTTACTCAAGCTTTAAATTGGAGGTGTAATAAACCCCATCTCTCTCCAGACTCTCCAGTGAGATTACCCAGCACACAAGGTGGGCTGGGCAATGAAATGACACGCTCTAACTAAAAGAAAGCCCATCTGAAACACTTTCTGTAGCCTGAAATGAAAAACTCTTTTTATCTTGCAAATCAAACCCTGCTGCAGGTGCAAAATGAAGGGAAGATGAAAGCAGGGAAA